GTGTTGTCTGTCTAGTATATTTATATTATATTGGTGAAAGCCTTTGATGGCTAATAAATTGTCATCGCCTCTGTGGCTTAATGAACGCTTGCTTCATTCTCTTGGGTTGGAATCCAGGGTAAATACAGCAGTTTCAGTCGGGAAGGGCTCCGTCCGATCAACTGCTTGTCATATATTAACTTTTTAATAAGAAACATCTCTAAAAGTTCAAAGTACATTTAACGCAATATGAGAGAAGATAGTATTTCTAAATTGAAAAGATTTCAAAACCCACTTTATATATGTAGATACGTAATTATAATCACTGTACAAAAGCAGGTAATTAAACCTTTCAATAAATTACAAAAAGCTAATTTTGCTCATAATGTTAAATTTTATAGAACTACCATTTTACGATGCATCAATGCGATAAATGCAAAGGTTAATTCGTTTCTCCAACGTGGTTGAACGAGTGCTTTTTTAAAGTCTTATAAATAAAACTTACTGATATGCTAAGCTTACACGAAGCTAAATTCGTATTATGAATATCAATGTACTAAAAATAAATATTAACTATCTATACATGCGAAAGTAACTCTGTCTGTCTGTTCGGTGTTAACTCCGAAACTACTGAACTGATTTAAATGACATTTGTTTGAGTTTGAAAATAGTGGAACGGGTCACACACACACCGCGACCTTAAAAACCAATAAGGATATTATATAAATATGATCAAACATATACATATTTTGAATGAAAATTTAGTATGGTAAGTAGTATGCAAAAGTTGAAAGATATTTCTTGTTTTAGAAATATAGCAAACTATTTGAATTCCGGAACAACAATATATTGTTTCGGTCGGGTAGGGCACAGAAGTCAGATAACTTGCGTGTAAAAGAACCGATCAGTAATCCGGGCACAGAAATGTGTTCGCCCATGTCGACGCGGGGAAACAGGTTTTCACACACAACACCTACTTGCGAAATCCATCGTACCTAGGATACACACTTGGCATGATAAACTCATTAGCGGGTTGCATCTGCGTATACAAAGCGGAATCGTCTAATAAGGAAACCCATGCGACCTGGAATGACTGCTCGCACGCGCCCTCTAGCGGTAGTCACGACGTCGTGAGCATCTACATAACTAAACAGTCACCTTCATTAGCCCGCGGTGTCTTTGTTATAGACCGTGACGTATAATTTTATACTGTGCTATGAGAGTTCAAGCCGACTGTTCGTTTTACTCTGTGATTTATAACACCTTGATTAGATGATAGATATTTCCGGGGATATCTGTTTAGTTTTTCTTATACTTTTAACGGTTCAAAACCGAAAATATACTATTTACTATAATATTTGACTCCAATGATGACGGGGGTTATTTTTTATTAGACAAAGGTTCATAAAATTTGGCAGGTAGTTTGGAAAGATATGTCGTGCATATGAGACTGTTAGAGCCAGAGTGGCTTAAGAAAAAACATGATTTTTAATAAGGAGGAAAATAAAAATGCGCAATTAACTTAGGCATAAATGAATTTCTACTATTATTAGAGTAAGAATTATGCTTACAATTTTCGGTCACTGTGCTTTTGTAGATTAACATTTTTAGACTATAAAAATAAGTCACGTTATAAAATTGCAGTTAGGCTACTCTGGCTCTAGCGGCCTCATATTATCTATTCGGCAGAGAATCTTATAAATTATACTATTCAGCTATATAAAAGAATAAAAATTTATTGCCCTTTCACCAAAGCGCATTGAGCCTATTCAAGTCTATTCGGACATAATTGTTAATTTTGTACCTGTTACCTCACCTGCGCTAAGGCCTATTATTAAATAGAGAAATGCAATAAGTTAATACACTTTGCATTCCTCCAACTGGCATAATAATAGGAGTACTTGGTTAAATGTGAATTAGTTCATTTTAAAATTAATTACACGTTATATTGATCCGAGTTCTAGAAATAATAATTTATTTAATAAGATTCTTAAAGATAAAAAGTGATAATGAATACAATTTAAGTTAAAGTATCGCGTTTTAAACCGTTAAAGACGCCAAACCGAAATATTCGGCCGGATTTCGGCATGGGTTCAAATCACACTTGTGTTCTGACCTCTTTTAATTTTAATAGTAAGTGTAGACTAAGAATAAATGTTCTTATGCGATTTCGCATATTTATTTATTTAACTTTATTGATTATAAATAACACAGGATGTGTTTTATGAATACAAAAACTACTAATATTATCGCCATCTGTAAATATATGCTTTGTCTTACTATGTATCAACTTGTGTCCAAGTTATAGAGGTTATTTACAATTTTAGTATTTTTATTCTGACGATAGAATTTATTATGCGTTACCGGGATATTAATCCAGGACATCTCCATCTTAACGCAGTTCGAGCTTTAGCCAATATTTAACTAATAAGACAATTTTAAATTCAATAAAAGTATAATTTATAACGATATCTTAAACTGTCAACAGTTGTAATTAAATTTAATCGCCATTTTATTTACATAATTTGAATAAATGCATAGAAATAAATACCTACGAATAGAAATGTTTACATTTGTGTGTGAATAGAAAACAGGTGTTTATGTAATCGGGCATATCCTTTTCTTTATAGATCGTGATTACTTGGAGCTGTGTTTAATAGTATGCAAAGTGTTCTTAAACGTGGGATACCTTTTCTTTGCTTTATCCATCTTAGAATAAAAAAGTCATTGTAAAACGACTTACTCTAACTACATCGTGCATCATAAATTAATGAACATACATATTTCGCGTTTTAAATAAAACATTTTAATGGTTTAAAACGTAATTTATATTAGTCACGAAGTTGGAAGATGGAGGGTGTTTATAACGTCAAAGTCGAATTTGCTACGCCAGCGTCAAGGTTACTAGTATAATTCGCGTTTTATACCATTAAAGATATTTAATTCTTGTCTGAGACATCCCTGTGCTGTTGATAGAACATAAGATGAAATTTATATTTAAAGGCATAACTTTTTTTAAATTTATTGCAATTCTTCGAGATTCGCAAGTTCTTATACAATAAAAAGTGTCAATTATCTACTTTAATTCGCGATCGAAATTGCTTACATTAGTACCATAAAAACTGTATTTTATTATATGGCGTATTTTTTTAGCAAAATAAACTTCGTTCCTATTCTAGAGTGCTTCCATTTATCCCGATAAGCTCTAACGACTGTCGCCAAGCGCACAATAAACATTACATTTTATTTACATCATACAATTTGTACGTAAAAATATAGACAAGCAAATGCGTCGACATCAAAAGTTTTAAAGATCTAGTGTCTGTAGTTTACACGAGAAGTACACATACAATAGAAATAAAGCATAACAAAAAATGAATTAATCTTAAATACAGGAAAAAAGTTTTATTGAATAGATATATAATAAAGAAAAGTGTATTATTATCTCAAAAGTATTCTATCACTGTTAAAAGTCTACGTAAGACTTTTCTAAGACAATAGTCCATATTGTATTAATATAATACAGTATATAAATCAATTCAAATGAAAACGGAAACATATAATTCAATATAATAGCAAACTTCCTCTTAAAAGTAGGTTTGTTGCTATTCCCACAGACTGTAACAGAAAATTATTGTGCTCACAACTGGCACATTCACCACAATCGGTTTAGATAAATTAAGAGAAAATAAGAGCTTTCTATAAAACCACAAATTTCGTCGCGTTCAACTTATATAACTTTGAAATAATGCTATAAATATCTTGGTTACAATTTAAATTGAACCTATATGTAGTATACAAAAGTTTTTGAACATTTCATATTTCACAAAATATGTAATTTTACATATCTTTTCCAGGCCATAAATATTATTACAAAAAAAATAGCATGTAAGGGCTTATTTGAAATGTCAAATTATAGATACATTAACTGTCAATGTACAATGATACTGACATTAGTGTTTCCCGCCACAATGAAGAAATCCTGCTTTATTTTTGAAAACAGATTATAAATTAATGTATGTATATTTCAAATAATTAAAATTTTGATTTGTACTTCTGTCTTGCGGTATTTAAATAAACAAACCGCCTATTTCTTGTATCATGATTCACGGACTAAGCAGATAGCAAAATTAATTGCAACAGCATTCGGAACGAATTTTTAAACGCTTATATATAGTGATTCCTGCATTCAATAAACCATTAAAGGATTAGTTTATCATATTTGGTAAATTATTAGTGTGAACATACAGTGTATTATACATAGGTATCCTTCTTTAAAAAAAGTTAAATGCACCAATTACTACAATAATAAGATAGGTTTAAATATCAGAGTGTACAAAGTTGTAAGGTGTTAGCTAAAATATTACTTACTGTCCGTGAGGTGATTAAAGGCAGTGACATCATCGTTGAGGCGCCCCTGCATGCGACGGAGTTTAGTGTTCAGGTCTCTCGTGTGAAGAAATAAAAATAGTGTACATGACACGGCTACGAGCGCTATCAGCTCGCTTGTCCTGTAACAAGAAAATATCAATATAGAATCATAGCTAGTAATTAGATTATGAGTAGTGTCTGCAGTATGCAAGTTCAAGTTTAAATAAAACACTTTCGAGTTTTGGTAAAGATAATGTAACTAATATATTTTGTTCAAAACCGTAAGTGTTTTATTAATATAGTTTGCCTCCAACTCACCTGTTTCTCTCTCCGCCATTAGGTATATAGAGATGTATATAAATATTACTATAGGTAATGTATAAGGTAATTCAACAACTAATGTCTTTAGATTTACTTTTTTATTTACGCTTTTTTTAAGTGAAACTACATCTGAATACAATTTATTGTAGTTTAATACAATGTAGAGAATTAAATGCACTTCATCTATCTTTCAATATTTATGATATGCTGCATACATAGATAGACATCGGACATAAATAAAAACAAAATTTTAAGCAATGTTTAATTACAGAGTAAAAGTCTTTATTTTATAAATAACTAGTTACATTATTGAAAAAACATTTTTTTTTCTATTCAGTATCTCCGTGAAATCTATTCTGAAGGAAAATATTAAGACGCATTACTTCGAGGTTTATCATACGGTCCTTATCTTGTTGAGTATTCCATTCTAGATTCCCTTCTTTCAACTTCGTTTCATAATCGGGCCTTGAACATGGCACGTTCAATAATCGTACAGCAATCGGCATTAAGTTTAGATGAGCACAAAAGCTTTTCCACCATATTTGCGGTTCCAGCATTTGTACGCTATTCCAGATTGCCTCGACTTTACCAAAATAGCCTGTCTTAGTTTTAAATTCGGCCAAGTTCATCATAACAAGTCCAGGATCATCTGAGTTGGCTATTGCATACTTTGAAATGAAAGACATAGCTTCTGATGTTTCCTCATGCGTCAGGGTAGAACCAATATACCGTGGATCTAAGAGATTAGCTGCCAAATGAATAGGCGTAATGCAAGATTTCTTAAGTCTGTCAAGATACCTAAGAATTAAATGATCGTCTTGTGAAAACCTTGACAGTTCTTTCTCTAATTCTGTATGCAATTTATAAAGAATAGCAGGCACATCCGATATCAGTCCCTTAATAGATTGTGATCTCACCAAAGCTTCAAAGATTGGTGTTATTATTGAAATGTCTCTTTCGCCCAGTTCCCAAAACTTATCGTTATTGATAACAAGTTCGCTCTTGAATCTTGCTGCAAGAGACATTATATATTCCTTACAATCAAAAAAGTATTTAAAATATTTGAGATAGTTTTCCCAATCTTTCGGATCTACCGGCTGTAATGTGTTTATTATTCTTCTGTAGATTTCGTCTTTAGGGTCCTCTAGTCTATTTAATATATCAGTTTTTAGGTAATTAACTATTACTTTAATATCGTAACTGGATGAAATCATCTCTCTCTCTACATCTTCAAAAAAGTTTACGAGTTGCTCATACAAGCATTGTATCGCAATTGTGTTTGGTATTTTACTACGAATTACTTCAATATTTGTGTTATTTTTTTCTCTTGACATCAAAATAACTAATTTACGAAATCCGATATTGGTAATAACTTTGCTCAGTTCTTCGCAAATGAACGAACTTCTTTCCGTGCCTTGTACCTTTTTATAAACTATTTGATAGCACCATGGTTTTGGAGTCATAACAATAAAGTGAACCAAAGTACCTGAAAGTAAAAATTACAATTATTAGCATTAAGATTTTTTTGTCCGTTAAAAGCAATTATGCTCGAATCTTGTTTTGCAATCCTATCAATGTTAGCTACTTCTTTGCATACATTATATTCGATTTAAAAACAGGAGGGGCTCGAATCCAAGACTAACAGCTAACCGTGCTGTTGCTTTAGTAGTTGCGCAAAAAAAAATCATAGGTATATCTTTTATTTTTGTTTTACAAAAATGCACCTCTCGTGTTAGTTCGAGGTGCAATGTTTATCGATTTTCATCGTGAAAAAAAATCATTAAAACATTTCAATAGTTTTTTTTTTAATTTTACATTTTAATGTATCATTGACCCTTATCTCCGCAGCGTAAGTGGTTTTAATAAACTATTTTATTACATTACATTTTTTTAACATTAAACTGTGAATACGTTATAGAGTAAAAATTTAATACATTACCTATTTCTGTCTCTGACGTGTCATAAGATAGAGTTATTGTATCTGTACAACTAATATCCTTCTCCATGTCCAGGTTTATTTTCAATCTCTCTTCATCTAAAAATCTATGCTCAATTTCGTATGCCGATGGTGGTCTGTATTTGGGTCGTAAGATATTAAAAGCATTTTTCCAATGTTTCGACTCGAATATATTATACGGTAGCCCACTGTATAACGCCGCCCTCGCTAAGGCTTTATCTACGATATCGGTGTCTATTCCGATATCTGGGTATATATCTGGTTCTACTTTTATATTCATGGGACCAGAATCCAAGTTTGTGACTGGTACCTCGAGAGGATCGAAGCCAGTTTCATCGTTATCAAAGTTATTTTCGATTTTCACAAAACTCGACATCGCTGCACTCGGTTTCGGTGGGGCTTCTGGCGATTGTGGCATACCTTCTTCGTCTCTGTCATTAGAAACAAATTCTTCTGTTATATATTTCTGCTTCACTTCGTCGGGGCATTGCTCACATTCCACAATAATGTGTTTCAGTAACCGCGTCGCATTACTATGACGGTATTCCTTTTTACAGAATTTACATGATCCGTGTTTTTTATATCCCACTTCGCTTATTATTGAAAAGTATTGCCAGACATCGCTGGGTGGCTTGCCAGTTTTACTTTTACGGCTCGTGGCCGGGCTCAAGGTTGGAATGTTGGAAAACTTCTTTGGAGGCAGAGGCGCATCTGGCTTCCCGTTAGACTTCAGGGAAACCAAAAATTTTTGCTTTACTTCATCAGGGCAGTGCGGGCAGCGGCACAGGTGAACAACTAATCTAGTGGCATTCGAGTGAGTATACTCGACGGAGCAGTAGTTGCACGTCACATGCTTTTTATTTCCTTGTTTGTCTAATAAACTGAAGTGGTTCCAAACTTTTGGCCGAACTTTCGATCTTTTAATCGACAGTCGAGGGTCGTAAGTATTGTTGGGCAGGTAACGTTCAAACTCTTCCCCTTTATACTCATTTTTAACATCCACGGGGCACGCTTCACAGTTTCTTATATGATTTAGTAATTGACAAATACTGTTTTTACTTAACTCGATGTTACAATAAATGCACAATGCCTGCTTCCTTTCGCCAGCTCCAATGCTTTGAAAATGCTTCCAGATCATAAAACGGTGTTTTATTTCGTCCCTCACTCCCTTCCTATGCACAAAATGTTTATATTTAGGACTTAATATCTTTGCAGCGACGTCCTTAGGGAGCTGTTCGCGAAAAAATGTTTTAATATTCTCCGGACACACTTCACACTGCACCATATGAACAGTCAATCTCGTCGAGTTGCTAGATTGAAACTCCTTGTTACAATATCGACAGGAGGAATGTATTCTTCCACCTTCCTCGTTTATCAGTTTATAATGTTGCCAAACATCACTTAAACGGCGCGGCATTTTAACTTTCGTATAAACAACTATCTAACACAGTCTAGCACAACGTAAATAGCAAGAATCCATATAAAACCGTTTTATAACGCGATTGAAACATTGAATAAAACGAAAACAGCGTGGTTTTTAAACGAATATTACCGGAGAATGTGCCAGTTTCGATCAGTTCACTGCGGATACATTCATAGCAGCTGTGGCCTGTGTGGAAGCGAGAGGTATCGCCCCGTCCTTGTCTCGCACGTTTCAAATGGGTCTGCGAGCGTAAGTGTGGCGACGTCGCATTTTAAAGTTTAAACACATCGCGTCTGCCACTAATCAGTGAAACATTAGTAAATTAATTAAAATAATTAATATTCGTACTATATTCAATTAATAAACGGTTTATCGGCTAATGTCGATAATAAACTGGCCGAATGTATTAAAATATTATAAAATGAAATTGTCATACTTTCGTGTTTGTAAACGTCATCTCAATTTAATGAATCAATACTGGTGTAAAGAAGAATTTATTCTGATAAGAATATGAAAATTATGTTGGGGTATACCGACTTTTATAATTACACTACAAAGGTACCCAGGTATAGGTAATCATAACTAACAACACAGTTGTATTTTGTAAAATCGTTTTGTACCATACTATTATTATAAGTAGGTATGTTCTATTAAGAATTTATCAACTAATAAGTTACTAAAATGATTATTTGGTATTATACAATAAATATTTTAAATAATAATTTGTAACTTTATGCATACAATTACATATTCTTGTTTGAATTAACTATATTATATGTATTATGCTGTCTCCACATACGCAACTACTGTACTAATTTTGATGAACATTGCACACACGAATAAGACGTATTGAACATTAATAAAAATCGAAGAGCAAGAGATAACGTAAAATATAAGAATCAAATATAAAGTTGATGTTATAAGTAAAAAAATAACAAAATTAGTAAGATTATACCTATATGTGATTCATTTTATATCTCTTAGCGAAATATCGAAAGTCAGTATTTATATGTATGCTGAGCTGTGAATAAATTAATTGTGTATGAACTACTGGAGTATTCGAATAAAACACTTTAACGATTTAAAACGCGATATATTTTAGTTATTGTTTGAGGGGAGACACTCCGTGGTCACGGCTGCTGCAAAGCATCGGAAACGTCGGGCCGTAGTTAAAAGTAATTTTGAAACAAGTTTACCTAAAATATATCGCGTTTTAAACCGTTAAAGTGTTTTATTTAAATGTGTACTACTCGCGTAAACTACAGACAGTATAAAACAGTTAAACTTATTTTATTTTAACTAACAGCCCAACGTCGCGGATGCTTTGCAACAGCGGCGGTCGTTATGGGGAAACGTCGGACCTTAGTTAAAATATACTTTTTTTTAATTTTAACTTAAATACTGTCTATATATAACTTCTTAATATATATTGCGTTTAATTCCGTTAAAGTATTTAATTTCAATGTGTACGTATTTTACTTCAATGTGTACTATTGGAAGAACAAACTTTAGATATTCCGTGAACTGATGTACTACCTAATATGTATAGTGTTATTACCAGTGTTAAAATGAATAAAGTGGCTCGGAGTTCGGTTATCACATATTCAATATCACTTTGTTTTATGTTGTGTATAGCTTTTTAGCTCAGCTATTTATAAACCGCATATAACCCACTAACAAGCAGATCGAAGTGTCTTATCTCATAAATTAAATCCTACCGCATTTCAGACTTTAGAGAAGGTTTAATAGCGGGCGGACTTGTTTTGTTTGCTTCTTAAATCGTCGAATAAATATGGCAAAAGTAAAAACAGGTATGCGCTATACGACTCAGTTAGGTAAAGAGATATAAAAGTTGGTTACTTGGTGGTAACCAAATTTATATATTTTTCTCGTAATCAGTTTAATTTAAATGAATGAAATACAACAATCTCAGAAGTTTTTACGGCTTTGAAACTCCACTACCGTGTCACCGTGTTTGGTTAGAGCAGCAGCACGGAATGCTATGAGTGACAGTTCAAGTCCAGACCGTGTAGTTAATTTTTTTTTCAATGTCAATTGTCAAAAGTAGCTATAGTCTAATAGGAATTGTTAATATTAAACATATTGATTGTTTCATATTTCCGTTGTTTTATTAGTAGTTACCCTTTAGGAAGACCATATAAACACAGTACCAATGTAGAGGAAAACCTATCACTCGTTATCTTTAGAAATCGCTTCTTAACGATAAGATCAACATATCTCTCCGTTATTGGAGACCACGGTTGCTGTATTAACGTTGTTCGTCTGTTACAGACTTTTCGTAGTGATGCTATGTGTTTAAATTTGAAGGAACAAATTTCGAAAATATTGTTTTTAAACAACGGTAAACATACTGTCTGTAGTTTACGCGAGTAGTACACATTTAAATAAAACACTTTAGCGGTTTAAAACGCGATATATTTTAGTTAACCTTTTTTTCGGGCCTCCCCGTGACCACGGCTACTGCAAAGCATCCATAACGTCGTGCCGTAGTTAAAAATTAATTTCAAAAAAGTTTAACTAATATATATCGCGTTTTTAACCGTTAAAGTGTTTTATTTAAACGGTAAACTTAATAATTAACATTGTATATGAAAGTGTGTGATAAAAATAGTTGTGGCAAGTTTCTTGCTTCTCGTTTGTACCAATATCATCATAACTCTTTAAAATAATAATTCTAGTAAGGAAAAATTAAAAGCGTTACTTAATCTTATCGACACATTCTACTACTTAAGCTCCAAGTTTCCGCGTGGAAAATAAAGACATAATTAAGCAAACGTAACTATTAACGTTTTTTTTGGCTTGATTTAGAATTTTGTCAATTAAATTGTGCCAAAATTGGGTTAATAGATAATAGAACAACAATGAACTGAGTTTTGGCTCATTCCCTTTTGTTGCATTGTATTTTTTTAAGTAATTATCATACCTGATAATTATTCTACCATATATTGTTTTAACCGTGTCACAAGTGCAGTTGCAGCAAACGACACTGAAAAGCGATAAATGAAATGGAGGAGATTAATGTGACGGGGAGATTGAAAGGAAAGATTTTGTTAATTGAAAATATTTTTATTTCAAGTGATAACGGATGCTTTGCGCTTTCTTGTTCTTAATGTTTTAAGATTTTTAAAATGGCGTAACGGGGTCGTCACCTACTTGAGAACACGACATACGAACTGGGCGAAGATATAACATGACGTGTATAGAGGAGAGAATAGAATTTGTTAACTTTTATATGTTTTTTGTTTAAACTTACAAGTGTTTTCTGTAAATTTGTACCTACTACTCCCGCAACCAACAGACCTATAGTTATATAGTATATATTAGAGTCTGTTTGATTACATTTGCTAATCTCAGGATTTAATTGAAAAAATATTGTAGTGTTGGTTAGAGCACTTATCGATGAAGTTAAGCGAGGAAGGTTATAAAACATCACACTGCGACCAAAAGGAGAGAAGAAACAGTAGGAAATGTGGGAAAAACCGGTATAATTATTCATTTTTCTTCATTTCATTTATAAATATAATATTTGCAAAATTAAATTTTGAAGCCCAAAGAAACTGTTCTACGCGGACGATGTCGCTGGCACAGCTAGTACTTATACATTTACATAGGTATATGTTTGATCTAAAAATATGCCAATATCAGAAAAGTATTATTATATTATTTAAGTAATCACCGTTATCGCGCAAATTATAAGGATATGCTATAAAAAGAAGACTGACGATTTCCTGATAAATGATTGATTACTTAAAAATTCGTCAATTTTTTGATTAAAATATTGTGCTAGGTTAACTTTTAAAATATTAACGATATGGGGCATGGTGTAGACACATTTTTATCCGTTTGATGATCGATTGATGGAGTATATTTATACTGAGCCCGATAGAAAAAAAGTTTCTATAGGAAGGTAACTTAGGACCTAGCACCAGCTCAACTGTTCAGCTAGGCGTTAGTTGTATAGTCTAGACAAATATTATAAAGAGGAAAGATTTGTATTGTTGTGTGTATGGGTAAAGATTAAACTCAAAAACGACTGTGCCGCCTAAACCACAAAAATCTATCACCATTAGAAAAAAAAAAAAAAAAAAAAAAAAAAAAAAAAAAAAAAAAAAAAAAAAAAAAAAAAAAAAAAAAAAAAAAAAAACAAAAAAAGCCACATTCACCCTGAACGACATATGCTGTACTTATTTATTGCTAGAAAAGATTAGTGATCCTAACTAAAATGTTAGTTACGTAAATATTTGCTTTTATTCTCTTAGAACCCGTATTTTATGTCATACGCTATCACTGAATTATAAAAAATACTTAGTCTACCTACAAACGGACCCCTTGCGTAGTCCATGTCAATTTTTAATACTCTTCACATAATGGCATTATATAAATTGAAAATCTATGTGTATCGAACAAAATTTACTATATTTCCAATTTATAGTTCATGTAGTAAAATTATGTTTTGTAGCGTGTAGTGGCCAACACCGTCACTTTAGAACGACGATTCCATATAAAAACATTTTGTAGTGTCGGCCGCTGGACCATGTTCGGTGACACTTTCTACCAATAGCTTGCATTTTATTGCTATTTATAAGCAGTAGGTGTCTTAAGCTAAATTGTCTTTTATCGTTCGTTTTATTTCCTAATAAGAATTGCGGTCAATTGTTATTCTATGCCATGTTTCAGGTTTCACCGGCCATCCTATGTGGGCCAGACATTATTCTGTGTTTGTTTCACTTTATTTACAGACAATTATAATATCACGTTGAAACTGATCACGTTGCCCGATCGGAACGTTATATATAAGTAGCTGTGTCAGCGACTTCGTCCGTAAAAGAATAGTTATTTTAGGCATCAAAAATTGTTTTTGGAAATCTGTTCAACCATAAATTTAAACTGTTACGCACAACATCAGTTGCGTGCGACCCCGGTTCGGGTCCGTCGTTCCTGCAATTTTATCTTAAAATATAGACATATACCAT